AACCGCTACCGCTACCGCTACCGCTACCACTAATCACGCTACCGTGTTGTACCATGTAGAGTCAAAACTCTACAGTTTTGATGATTTCTGTTTCAATTAAAATTAACATACATAACATGTACTGCCTCATTGGCCAAGTGGTCGCAAGTGCGACTGCCAAGGGGTCTCCGGTTCGATTCCCGAATCGGGTAAAGTATTAATGGGTTTTTCAAAAAAAATCACAGTAGTAGCACGGAGTCTGGAATTGTGCCCGGTGTATGGCAATAGGCTCGCTCCCTATTACATGGGACTCATAACATGATAGTGAAAAGTGGGTGTTACATTGTACAGTGGCGTAATGTACACCTCTGCCTACCCCTTCGGAGATAAAAGGCGTGATGTTATAATAATAAAAACAAACACTTTATTGTACACCACTTACAAAAGACACGAACAAGAAAATAGTAGGTAGTTAAAAATTAGTTTTGGCATGTTGTACAATGGGCGGCCTTATCGCTTACAGCAATCTCTTCCAGGCAACCTTAGGATGGATAAATAACCGTGAGAGCAGATAACATGTGGGTAGTTCATGGTGTTGAATTAAATACAATGGATATGACAGAACAGTTTAGATACATACATACAATATGTACACACATACATACATGCCTACATACTCATATATATATATATACACATACATAGGTACATACGTACACAAAATTAGATACATACATACATACATACGGATAAGAGGTAGCAGTTATGTTATGTTAATGTTTTTATGATTTCTGTGTCAATTCTAAGTTATACATATAATGCAACTTGGGGTATAACATCACCGTGCTAAAATCCCAATAAAGTTTACATAGGTACGCTGCCGCATCGGCTTTCTACTCACTTCAAAATTATGGTCAACTCTATAACAATTTTCCGCATACATTGGTCGAGGTTATAACGTTACAGCGTTCATTGCGCACTCAACTAGAACATGTGGTTGCCGAACTTTAAAGTATTCATCAATGGATTCAAAATTAATCGCCTATAGTATATGTTACTGTTATTCAATTAAAATTGATATGTTATTGGTTGACTCATATATAAAATGGTAATAAGTGTGGTGTGTAAAGCAAGACCAAGACGGCACGGGTGGCGTGGCCGCACAACGTGTCGCGGGTTCGATTCCCGGAATACCTCTTTGTGTGATCCAAAGATTGTTGTTTCGGGTCTGGGTGTCATGTGTATGTGAACTTGTATGTTTGTAAACGCACCCACGACACAGGAGAAAAAAGTAGTGCGGGGCAACGTTTCTTTAAAAAAAGAAAAAAAAAGTAGTGCGGGGCAACGTTTCTTTAAAAAAAGAAAAAAAAAGTAGTGCGGGGCAACGTTTCTTTAAAAAAAAAAAAAAAAGTAGTGCGGGGCAACGTTTCTTTAAAAAAAGAAAAAAAAGTAGTGCGGGGCAACGTTTCTTTAAAAAAAGAAAAAAAAAGTAGTGCGGGGCAACGTTTCTTTAAAAAAAGAAAAAAAAAGTAGTGCGGGGCAACGTTTCTTTAAAAAAAGAAAAAAAAGTAGAGCGGGGGGGCAACGTTTCTTTAAAAAAAGAAAAAAAAGTAGTGCGGGGCAACGTTTCTTTAAAAAAAGAAAAAAAAAGTAGTGCGGGGCAACGTTTCTTTAAAAAAAGAAAAAAAAAGAAAGTCTTTCTTAGGTTCGATTCCCGAGTAAGCTAAAGAGAGATGAAGATTTTATTTACAGAAACGCTTGCCTATTTGATGTATTCTAAATGACTAGCTGTTGCTCACGACTTCGTCCGCATAGAATATGATTCCTGTTGTATACCATGGAAACATTTAATCCGGGTAGATATATCCTATCACCTAAGTCAGCCCATACTTACCCTGCCTGTATACCAAATTTCATCAAAATCCGTTCATTAGTTTCAGTGTGATTGACGGATAAACATCCAAATAAAGTAACTTTCATACTTATAATATTAGTATGATATACTTTGCTTTATAACATAAATGGCGATGAGTGTTATATATTATGCATAACACGTAGGTAATAGAGTAGATGCCTAATTTTTATTTTAATGTCCGTCTGGTATATTATTTTAAATCATTAGAACGTATTTTTTATTTTCTTGCAGAAACTAACACTTTCGACGATATATTAATTTAAAATGTTGCGTGACGTCACTTCTATGTACATTTTATACGTAGAAATGACGTTTTACCAACAACTCCTAAACTTTGATTCGTTTTATCTAAGTATTATTTTATTAGGCGACAAAATAAAAAAATACGTGTCTAATATTTTTTCATTAGCTAACTTACGGACTAATTAGATTTTTAATTTTCATACCCTGTCATCATCCGAATTCCTACGCAAAAACTTGACTAAAAAATCGTTACATGACATTTCATTAAAATTTCCGTCGGTCGATCTCTTAGAATTGAACCAAAAAGATACTCTTTTACAACCCCTCCCTTTAAAACCTTTATTTTAAAAGGATTTATGGTGGTTAGGCCTGTAATGGGCTTTCCCTCATTTGCCTGTGTGACGTAATGGCCGAAATTGGGACAATGGTACTGACCTCATTGCAGTCTTGTAATTGATTCTTGGTAACAGCTCTTATGGATGAGTAAATAGGTTACGTATAGTATGTTTTAAAAAAAATCTCAGTAGTAGCACGGAGTCTGGAATTGTGCCCGGTATATGGCAATAGGCTCACCTCCTATTACATGGGACTCATAACATGAATAGTGAAAAGTGAATGTTACATTGTACAGTGGCATTAAGTGTCGTAATGTCTACTCAGTGGGTGGGTAACCTATCAGTACTAATAGTTATTTTTGCTTTTTACTTTTGACGTTTTGTTTGTTGTTAGTTTTTGGTTTTTTGAAGTCGGTTTTTTTAACGCAGTTTTATTTTATTAGAACAATACATATTTCCATTTAGAATTATATTTCATTAATTATGTCCGTACTAATTAACGTATTTCACATTATCAAATATTCACACTATACAGGTTGTTCTAAAATTCAGACTGTACAGGCTGCTACAAAATTCAATTTCATTTATAATTAGTTGAGGCTAAAAATTAACCGAATAATTAACATATATGCGTTTTGCTATATTGTGTAACGTATTGTTTTGTGTGCGAATTGTCAATAATAAAACACTTTATATTTGAAATCATGCCATTAGCTAAAAAAATCTAAATTCATCAATCCACTTTGAGCAAGTGTGATTATTTATTCGCTATATAAGTAGAGGTTTTTTGCATAGCAATTGCCTAAGACCGTTTTTTTTTAAATCGTTGCCTCAGTTTATGGGAACAGGATAAAACGGGATTACGCTTAGGAAGTCACGGGCAGAAACGAGTGGTATAATAAAAATGAATGTGGAAAGTAGATATTTACCTCTTTAGAGTAAAAAAGGTATAATATTACGTTATCAATACCATCTAGTCAATATATAGAGATCAAACCCCAACTGCTAGTAAATACCAATAGGGTTGGCAACACCCCAAAGCACGCACAACACTGTTGAATTAGAATCCGCTCCTATTTTAGGTAACAATTGATTCCAAATATTGACTGTGTGACAACCCTACAAATAGTCTTAATGCTAGGGCTGTGTACACTTAGGTTTATTTACTGATCGTGATTAAAGCGAGTCTATCTGTCTATCTGTCAATAAAATGTAAGTATAAATTGATTTCGAATATAAGGGCACTTACTACTGTGATTGTCATATGATATTATTATATCTATCACTAGCAACACGCCCCGGCTTCGCACGGGTGCAATATACATGTATTATACACATAAACCTTTCCTAAGAATCACTCTATTTATTAAAAAAACCCGCATCATTTAAAAAAATCCGTTGCGTAGTTTTAAAGGTCTAAGCATACATAGGGACAGACAGACGGCGGATAGCGACTTTATTTAATACTATGTAATGATGGTCCAAAGGGTTTTTTTTAAGGGGGGAAAATCGTCGAATGACTGCTCTCGCCTGGGTGAGGCGGAAGGGAGTGTCAGACTCTTACTGACTAAAAACCACCCCGTTCCTTCTCCAGCACGTCGAGCCGGCCCCGGTTACCCGTTAGGTTCTCCGCGACATGGTCCAAAGGGTAAGCAACAGTGGAAGAAAGAAAGAAAAGAAAAGTAATATAACTAGTACAGTTGTGCAGTGTATTACCTTAATCGGTCAACACGACAAGCGCCAGAAATAATTGCATTTAAGGTGCTTCATGTTCGTTATTTACGTGTAATACGATGTACAGCAATTGAGTATTTGCCAACTTGTCAAATTCAATACTTTTTTCGAACTGTCAAAAACGACAGTTTTCTATGAATTTTGTACTTTTTGTATTGTGAGTGTGACGTCAGATTTTTTCAGCGTCAAACAACATACCTTATTTCTTAAAAATATGCTGCGTCAAACTGCGTATTTATTTTTTTAAATTTGTTGGGAAAATATTAAAATTAAGGTGGTCATAAAGCCAATTAATGAAAGTGTGATTATTTTTTAATGTTTTATTGTATTGAACACACAAAACAATTTATTTTTGATTAATGAAAGTACCCAATTTTAAAAATCGAAATGTGTTCATTAACTTTTGATATTGACTGTACATCAAGAGCACTGGAATAATTGTTTATTTTAGCAGCTAAACTAGTAGTTAATCTTAACACGATAAACGCCATAGGGGTCATCGGTAAGGAGACAGACGTTAGCGACGGATTTACCTGCATTTTCTTTTATTGGAAGTTAAAGGTTTAATCAATAACCGTAATTTTTGTATAGATTTCCTTAAGTAAAAGAATTGAGAAACCTCATAGTTTTAATACAGCTGTCATGTGAATGGAATTCATAACAGTATCATAATTAACATTATATTCATTTGAGACCATATTTTTTTTTGACACCGACAGATGATGAAGCTTACTAACCCTGTTCAATTGAGAGAATAACTAATATTAATGGAAAATAAAAAAATAATAACTTACATGCTTCTTCAATAAGGTTCTCCTGTTGGCTCTCGACGCAGTACTGCAGCAGAATAGTGCAGAGCACACTCGATATCACATGCGACCTCGAGAGCGGCATTGTCAACACAAGTCGTATCTATCGATATCGATAAGCACTTTCATGTGGCACATCACTAACACTTGTTCTCACTTAGTTCACTTGCGATGCATTTAGTACCTGCAACAAGAAAGTATTGGATTTTTAGTGATGTCGTGAAAGTTTTTTACTTTTTATGATTTTTTTATGGGATAAGCCGCTAAACTCCTTAAGCAATCGGCATCGCCTATGGATACCTGGAACACCAGAGACATTACAAGTGCGTTACCGGCATTTTAAGGATTAGGATTTTGAGGATTCAAGGATTGAGGATATTGGGGAAGGGGGTAACTGGGCCTCCCGTAACCTCACTCATACGACGAAATAAAACGCAAGCGTTGTTTCACGTCGGTTTTCTGTAAAGCTATGGTATCACTCCGGTCGAACCGGCACATTCGTGCCGAAACATGGCTCATCCGCAATTAAAGTGTGGCGATAGGTAGATATATTTTTTTTATTTCATCCTTCATAGGTCAGCGTTTAACTGCTAACTGGCCTGGTTTAAACTGATGATGTGGCTAGATAAAGTTTAATTTCCATCAATTCATTGGTACTTCAATAAATATTGATGTTTTTATCTGTATTATAACTTACAATACATGTAAGGCTTACCTTTGTTCTATAACGTTAAAATAAAATTGTAAGCAATATACAGAAAAGAAATCGACTATTGTAAACCACTCAACCCTTTAACCGACATACGGCTTAAAAATAGCCCTTACCACTACAACTACAACTGTCAAAACAATACCAATAAATTCCCATACTCAGTAGTTCAGCAATTAACCCATTTGCAATAAAAACGACTGATTGATGCTTTAATAAGCTGGGCAAATTGACCCGTCAGTTCGACAGGAGCACTACTGGTTAATGACAACACATTCGACGCTTATTGACAGATTACAAATTTATTCAGCCTTTGACGGGGTACGATTGACCCATGTCAGATCGTGGAGGTAAATAATTGTGTCCACTTTAATTAAGGGTTAATTTTTGTTTGTAAGGCTAAATTGTTGGTGGGTAATGTAGTGTTTTGATGGGTTTTAACACAAATCTAGATTGGTATGTATTTTGTAACACATTGAAACTATGTACATATTTGGGTTTTGGAAACTCAGTAATATTTAAAAAAAGAGGTAATACTACGGCTCCAAAAGAATGAGTTTATTATTACACTTGAGAAGTTCAATGTAGACATACATATACCGCGAAATCTATTTCGTTTTCGTCTTGAAGTAATATGGTTCTGTGTACAAATACAAGAGTTTTACAAAAAAAAAAAATTAAAACATATATAGCATTTTTGCAGCTGACCACATACATTTCAGCACTACCCAAAGGATGACTGGCAGAGAATGCTGTTAACATTAAGTCCTACTTACGCAATTGTGTAAACTTAAATAAATAAAAAAACAAAAAATAACTGGTGAACCATTGCAAAAAGCAAACTTCGAAAGCGCATACGAACTCATGGTACATTATCAAAACATCACGCCATGTAATTCTCGAAGGGGTATAGCTCGTCGGGTGGCACGTGTGATGCGAATAGTGCCTAAAAATGTACGTCTAGTGTTTCATGTGCGTATGTCCACGAATTTTTTTAAACTAAAAACAAAAATTATATATTTATTTGTTTTTAAGTAGTTTATATATCGAAAATGGCCAGCCCGGAGGTTTAAGACGCCCGCTTCTTACGTATGAGGGCACGGGGTCGTAACCTACCACCGGCAAGTACCAATGTAACTATTTTCGGAGTTATAATATGTACTTTCTAAGCTCATTTAGACACCACTGACGAACGGTGAAGGGAAACATCGTGAGGAAACCTTAGCTTATAATTTGTAATATATAAATGTGGTGATTAATGCTCAAACCTTCTCCGTGTGAGAATAGGCCTTTGGTCTGCCACACATAGGCTGTTGATGTGATGTTATGTGATATCGAAAATACTCCTCATGGCCAGTTGTTTACTCAAGGGACGGATAAAAAATATATTTCACGGTATATGACGAAAAGTCTACAAGCATTATTAAACCAAGTTTAAGTTTTGGCCCATGAATTAATAACAAAAAATCCTTAAAAAATAATAAAATGCTATAGCATCAAAATCATCTTCAATAACAAGAATACACGACGTCTAAGATAGCTCTCACGTCAGACCTAATATCTAGGTACCATCAATAGCCTAGGTTCAATAGTGATTATACCCAGACGTCTCATGAGACCTAACTACTAATTATCTGAAACAAAATGACTATCTGCAGATAAAAATAGTGCTTACTTTTAGCTCATTGAGAAGGGGTGATTATTTTTTGTTTTGTTTCTTTTTTAACCGAATAAAAAAGGCGGTTCTCAGTTTTATCTGTATGTATGTGTGTATGTATGTTTGCTTGCTTGTCCGCCATTATCTCGCGATTGGCTCAACCGATTTTGATGCGGTTTTCAGAAAAGTGTTTGTTACACTTCGAAGAAGTTTTTGGAATATTAATTAAAAAAAGGGTGTTGAAGTCGGTTTTTTAAACATAACATAACATCACGCCTTTTATCCCCGAAGGCTTAGACAGAGGTGCACATTACGGACTTAATGCCACTGTACAATGTAACACCAACTTTTCACTATTTATGTTATGAGTGCCATGTAATAGGGGCTGAGCCTATTGCCATATATAGGGCATAATTCCAGACTCCGTGCTCCGACTTCCAGACTCCGATTAAAAAAATCTCAGTAGTAGCACTGAGATTTTTTTTAAAAAGCCAGTATTACTTTGACCGACCTGGTGAAACCCGAGACCCCGTGCGACCACTCGGCCAACGAGGCAGTTTTTTTTAAACATAGTTTATATAATAATTATTTGGATGTTTAATTGGAGTAGTCATGTAGTAGAATCTGTCATCATCTCTACTCATTTCACGGATGACGTAGGAGCCAAATAAGGTCTAAATTAGTTGAGAGTGAAGTAATATTATTTCTTTTGTTTTTTACTCTGTAATTGGACTTACATTACTTGCTTCAAGTTGTTTCATATGAGTGCACTGTACATTGTACTCACGGCCACACATCAATGTATACAAAACCAGTTTATCCTGGTGTCGCATCGCATCATCTTTCCGCACATTTAACGTTCAGTTTATACTGGTTATGTAAAGCTCGATGTGTAGCTGTGTGTACCTCTGGTAATAAGCTTGCGTTAAAAATAATAAGGACCAGTACGTTTTGTTTTTTGTATCGTCCAGGCTGTCCTGGTTTTGTAAAGAGTAATGATGGAGTTTCTTGCTCGTTCTTCTCCATTCGAAACTACACTTTGGAACGAGCGCCTAGCATCATTGACAAATTAGTTTGAAATTTTAAAAGTGCCTCAATAAGGATTATCCTTACTTATATTATAAATCGGAAAGTGAGTTTGTTTGTTTGTTCCGATTTCACGCCATAACTACTAAACCGATTGCTTTGAATTTTTGCAGCCGTAAAGTTAGAAGTCTGGATTAAATAATAGGGTACTTTTTATCCCGGAAAAAATTGAAATTCCCGAGGGAAAACAAAAGTATTGGTATAGATGGCGCTGTATGTATTGGTATATGTCACATAGGCTACTTTTTATCCTTTTGTGACGCAAGCGAAGCCGCGGGTAAAAGCTAGTTTAAAATAAATGCTTTGAATTGGATGGTTTCCTAGGTTTAAAATAAATTGTATCAACTTTTCAATGCAATAAATTATTAAAAAATAATCATACTCTCATCCATTGATTTGACAATTTACCTACTTTTGGTTTTTTTCTCGCTAATTTTAAGGAAATAAGTATGCTATTTGACGCAGAAATATGATGACGTCATAAGTATAGCGATCCAATACAAAATTCATAGAAAGGTATCGTTTTTGACATTTCAATAAAAGTATTGAATTTGACTACCTGTCAACTATAGTATTATGTAATTTTGTACCGCTTCAAAATTGACAACAAAATTTATAGGAAATTGCTTCATTTTTTGTATTATTACTAGTATAGATAGGTATTCAGAATGTAGACAAATGCAAGAACATAGATATCATGAAAAATACTCATATGTTCTCTATTTTAAATTACTATCTTTGTAACTATACCAATACGGTAGTTGACAACTAGTCAAATTCAATACTTTTATCGAAACGTCAAAAACGATACTGTTCTATGAATTTTGTACGAAATACCATCTTATGACGTCATCATATTTTCGCGTCAAGTTATATAGTACACTTATATCTAAATAAAATGCTAGAACAAATTGAAAATTAAGTATATCGGCAAATCAATGAATGAAAGTGTAACTATTTTTCAATATTTAATTGGACTGAAAAATCTAAAATAATTTATTTTTGACCTATCCAATTGGCCTACAATCAACCTACCTCTATAACTACATTATGTAGATTTCACAGATCTATATAAAAAACACAAATATGTATCTAGAACACATGATCGATGGAACGCCAAATTTGATTCCTAAGTCGTGAGCTAATAATCACAATGAGTACTATAGTTATATTTAGCTTGATGTAACAATTACGGTGCTTAAATTGTGGTCACAATTAGACCTGTTCGTGACACGACAGAGTGACAAGACACGAATATGTATCTATATACGATAGTGTTATAGTGACCTAGTCTATACTAGAAATATTGTATCCTTACTTCCTTACTAATATTATAAATCTGAAAGTGAGTTTGTTTGTTTGTTTGTTCCACCTTCACGCCGTAACTACTCAACCGATTGCTTTGAATTTTTGCAGACGTAAAGTTAGAGGTCCGGATTAAATAATAGGATACTTTTTAACCCGGAAAAAAATTATATTCCCGAGGAAAAACAAAAGTATTGGTATAGATGGCGCTGTGTGCATTGTTATATGTCACATAGGCTACTTTTTATTCTTTTCTGACGCGAGCTAAAAGCTAGTGTCTTCATAGTTTAGAGTATAGGTTGCTTAAATATTTACGATTGTAACGCTA